CACTAAAAAATAAATATTAATGACAAAAAAGAAAACAGTTTGCCAATACGAATTACTTTGTCTCGGAAAAAAAGACGAAAAATTACTTACTGATATGGAAAATCTGCTTGGAAAAGAAAACATGAGCCCAACAAGAGAGGAGAAATGAAAACCAGTTTATCCCATCAAACCATTAGCCAAAGGAAGTTATTGACTTATTTACTTTGTGGCTGATCGCAACAAAATACCCCCATTAGAAAATAATATTTTACGCACGGCAATGACTACTTCCCTTTCGCGTTATAATTTAACTAATCTTACGAACCAGAAAAGCAAAATAATTGTTAAGGAAAATGTTGTTGAATAAAATTAGAGTTGTCGGAAAAGTTTTACCACTAGAATACAAAGAGAAAAGTCTAACTAAAGAATTACTAATTTATTTTAGTTTGTTGGTTACTAATCCTAACGGAGTGCATAGTTTATTGCGTTGCCACACTAGCGGTAAAGCGGCTTCGGCCCTGAAAGAACAGGTGGTTGCTGACGAAATAATTGAAGTTAAAGGTTATTTACGAAACGAGAAAAAAGGACGACAAATAATAATCCAGGTAGTAGAATTTAGCAAACTAGAAGACATTCCTGATTATGCGGTTAACCAAGTGCGATTGTTGGGAAGAGTGATTAGTGATTACGAAATGGCCCCAAAAGAAAATCTTTTTTCTTTCAAACTAGAAGTGCCAACTAAGGAAAATCCACTTAATACTTTTTTTTGTCGTGCCCATGACGAGTTAGCCACTGAAATGGCTAAGCAAGTGCGAAAAAATGACCTTATTTTATTAGAAGGATTTCTGCAAACTAAGAAATTAACTTCCCCAACCGAACTTTATCCAGAAAAAATCACACGGATTTCTTCGCTTATTTGTCAAAGTTTTGTTTTGCTGGATACGGTTACTGTTAACAATTTTTATCCCTGGAACAATTTGGTTCTTATTAGCAAAGAAACCAAAAAAATTGATTTTACTAAACCGAAGGAGACTGATTAGAATATTGTTGTGGTTAAAATTATATTATAAATAATATTAAATCATGCCATTCAACCTAAACCAAATCAAAGTCTATGGCGGACAAGATTACTCCCTTAAAACCGGAGAGAAGAATCTTTTCGCTCGCTTGCCGCACTGATTTAAAGAGCAGGATTACGAGTGAGCTAGGAAAGTTTACGCAGCCATTATAAGTGTTCAGCATCCGGACGCGATTAAGCATTATTTGGACCCTGCGGCTAGCCAGCAAAAGTGAAGAGACGAACTTAACGTTTTATACAATTTTGCCCATACGTGATACCAAAGCGCAGCCGGAAAAGCTATTTATCGGATGTTTAATTTGCCCCCGCACGGGAATTATTTTGATTTGGCCTGAAATTTGTTGGTGAGGGGGGTAAAATTGTCGAAGTTGGAGGAAGAAGAACAAAAGTGAGCCGAAAAAGTAAAAATTGCGGAAAATGAGTGAGAAAAATTATTGGATAAAAAACATTTAGTAGTTTTACGTCCAATGAAGAAGTTACAGTGATTTTAAATCAAGGTCTTGCTATACTCCAAAAACTTACAAAACCCAAATCACAGCAACGCTCCGCCTTCTTGGATACGAGTTGAAAATCTTGTTTATGGATGCTATTACAATGTGCAAATTAAATGATAGTACAATTCTATCTTAATTTCTTACGACAGATTATTATCTTATGAAAATCAACTCCCACTAATTTCATATTCTGTTCTTTAAAATTTAAAAAAGAAACTAAAATAGTATCTTTGCTGCATTTTTAGATTTTAATCAAATAAATCTTCAAAAGGTTTTTACTCCTTACTATTGCTTACAAATTGCTCCTTAAAAAAATATTCAGAATTATCATTATAATATCAAATTCCATTCTCTTTCACCACCATTCCACCAACATAGTTTTTACCATCTTTTTCTCTAAGTTCTTGAAGTTTTTTTTTTGTAGGACTCTTGCTTTGTCGGCGGTTTCCTCCTCCTCAGCATTCCATCCTGCTTTAGTATCAAAGATGCCAATTCGACCATCTGAAAAATGGATTATTCAATCAGGGTAAAACACTTTTTCTTTTTTAGTTTCTGAGTTGGCATACTTGATTCCAAAATAGTTTTTTCCGTGGTCACCATTTTTGAATCATCAGTTAATTTTCTCTCGCTTCCTTTCCAAATATTCCATAAAGACAACTTCATTTCTTCTACCACTATAATTTTTAAGCAAATAAAATTTGTCAAGAGCACATAAATTTTGCGGAACTTCTTCATAATCTTCAGTATATCAATAATTATCACTTTTCGATTATTGAAGAGATTAGGGATTGCTAGAAAGAAACTTATTTATCCATTATACTCAACCAGATGGAGTATAAAAGTAAAAAGGCATTCAATGAAGAAATCAAACCATTATTGAAAGATATTATGTTTTTATGGCACTAGATGAGTGTAATTTCTATCCCAATCAAGACCCTCGTTTTTGGATATTCACTAAAAGAGGATAGGGCAATCTCACAAAGACCCAGGTCATAAAGGTAAACACTACATTTATCGTTTGCCATTAGTAGTTTAAATGAAAATGGTGCAGTTCGCTGAAAATTAGAAAAAAGAGGTGTCAATTGAGAGGTTTTTTATAACTTTTTAGAAAAAATTAATCCTATTGGGGACAAGAAAAATATTCTGTTAATGGATAACCCTCGAATACATACTGCCTTTAAAAAGAGGGCAGAGAAAGATTTGCCTACTACTTGAGGAACAGATGTTAAAGAAAAAATATTGAAGTAAAGTTTATTACCACTTATGCCCCCATGATTAATCTCCCACTAACTTAGTTTTTAACTTATTGAGGAACAAAGACCTAGAAAATTTAGAGAAATGGAGTTAGCAATCAAGAAAGTAGTAGATTTGTTAAATAAGAAAGATTTGATGAAATAATTCTGACACTGTGCCGCTTATTTCGACAGAAAAAATACTAAAAAAAGTAAATTAAAGAATTTGCACGCCGCAATAATTCTTTATAATTTTAATTAAAAAATCTCCCAAAACCTTTAATTTTTTTAGAGAAAATAACTAGTGTTTTGTTTGGTGGAAAATAATTATATTACTCTCTTTAATACTTTAATATTAATGTCAGTTAATCATCCCTTTTAATCCCTAATAATGGTTTAAGGGGTCAGAGGTTTTTTAAAATACTGACCATTTAATTTTGGCTTTGTAATATAATCAATTTCAATTTTCACTTCTCATAATTCTCTCTTTCATTTATTACAACTTAAAGGTGACTTTTAAGTTGGAAGCGTATGCTTTATTTTACCCCGGAAAATATTTAACCTAATGTTTTTTATATTCATAAGACTTATATACTGCTCCCTAATTTCCCTCTCCGACCAACTCCTTAATTTCCACATAACGGGGATAATGATTAGCAACATTTTGTAACTGATAGAGTAGTAAACGCAAGCATAATTGACAATCAGGATTGGGAGTAATTGAGTGAATAGTTATTGCGGTGTCTTGACAAGAAATTTGGCAGTCTTGCGGATAATAAGTGGCAAGAAAATTAATAGTGCCGTTAGTAATGGCCGAAATAGCCGCACAAACAATATCCCGCCCTTTCTTTTGGTAACCAGCATGGTCCGCAATTAAAATATAGTGAAATTCATTATTTTT